GAAGTTTGTTTATGCGAAAAAATCCTATTAACTAATTTTATGTTTTTCCGAAACATTCTGAAACAAGTCATTCTGAGACCAAATTGGGTAAAATTATGTGTGTGTGTATGTGCGCCGATTTTTAATCTTTCGTTGACGTTTTCTCGATATGTGCTTGAATTATAAAATTTTATCATAGTTGAGAATTCCGCCGCGTGCTTGAGTGATTCATATCAAAATCTATCTCATACGTCCACACAATTGTAAGAAAAAACATTTTTAGAATAAGAAATGGATGGAAACGAAATTTATATTATTACAGACAATATAAGTATTCAAAGATATCAATTGAAAATCGAAATAAAAAATAGTTAACTCCAATTTTTTTTTTTTTTTGTTACAATTTATTTTTGTTAATCAAGACTTTAATGTCTTATTTACAAAATTGCACTCCAATTGATAAGTCGATTATTCACACGTACCTACCGGAAAGCTCAAGCAACTTGCAAATGGCAAAATGCTACTTACAACTAGTAGGTTAATATATTTTGGTTTTGATTATAAGGTTTTTTAATTAAATCGTATGTGTTTATATCTACAATCTCTCGTTTATTTATCAGGATAATATTTAAAATGCGCATCTGGTTCCGTTAAGTCTAAAACTATTTAGTTGAGTAACATTTACCATGAGACTTTGAGGCTGAACGACTTTGTGAAATAGAAATAATCAAACGGGAGCTTTTTGTGAAGTATTAATGATATATAACAATAACAAATATTGATTTGCGTTAGTTGTAAACCTATTAGGGCAAATTTTGTAATGTTTATTAACTTTCCGTAGGGTAGTTATAGTAATGGGCCGAAAATCGAAAATGAAAATTTTTGCATATATCTTCACGTTTTCAAGGTTTCTGAAAATTTTGGCATACCTCAGAAAAAATGGTTGTGTGTGTGTGTTTTGTATGTCCGCGTTTTTTCGTCTACGTTTTCAGGCGCACGGATCGACCGATTTGAATAGTTAAAAAACATTCAATTCCTATTGATAGGAAGATGATGATTAGATTTTGGCAAAAGCAGGTCCAGCCTTTTCGAAGATACGGAGCAAATAGTGCAGAAAATACAAATCGAGTTTTTGAGAGAACGGAGTATCCTATTTGAATTATCTAAAAAACATTCAATTTGTAATGATTTGGAGAAGAGGTTTTTGGCAAAGGCAGGTCCAGCCATTTTGAAGATACAGAGTGCAAATAAATGTGCAAAAAATGGCAGTTTTTGAGAGAACTAAGCGTCCAATTTGAATGATTCAAAGAACTTTCTGCTTGTTTAACAAAATAATTGCTTTTGGGAAAAAAAATTTTGTTTAAATTTTTTTTTCAAAACATTTTTTTTTGTATATCGAAAATGATTCAAATTTTAATTTTAATTCTGACTAAATTTCTATTATACTTCAAATAAATAATTTCAACTTTGCAATTCAGTTTATATAATTCTTGTAAATATTAGACAATATTACAATATTTATAATAATCTATTTGAAAACATTTATTATTTCTCGAACATTTCGTTATGGTACGGAAAGTTCCAGCTATTTGCCCTAAGGCACGATGGCCTACACCACTAGTTTATATTATATGTTGGGTAAAGTATAAAGTTCGTTACGTTTTTCGCAAAAGACGGCGTTAGTTACAAATAATTCACTAAGTGCAGGTCGCAGCGGCAGCAGTAAATGCTTGTTAGAAATGTGACACTTCGAGCATCAGTTTGAAGTTAGAATCGAGGACAGTGGTCAAGTAGTGGGAAATATTTTGCAATATTATGCTATATAAGGTGAAGGTATTTTATCAAAATTTGCTGCTCGGAAATGGTTCGCTCACTTTCATTATGGTGATTTTGATGTGAAAGATGTGCTACGCTCCGCTATCAAGTGTAGCATGATAAGTAAATCAGTACTGTCGACATTGGAATAAAACTAGCCATTGACCAGAAAACTGTTTTGGACCTTTCATATAAAGCTGGGTGCAAAAGGAAGATTGATGTGATGATTGATTGAGGACCTTCATGAGATGGGTGCGAAAAACTTAACAGGCCCAATCAACGACTACGATGCGCTGCTGAAACGCAACGAAATCGAACAATTACTGAAACATTTCATAACTGGTGATGAAGCTGATGATATATTACATACGACAATCGGAAAATAAATCATGATTAAATGATCACCAGCAACCACACATGTTCACAAGTCAGGAATGACAAAGGTGATGCTGTACTTCTGGTGGGACTGGAAAGTGGTCGTCAATCGTGACTTACTTTCAGTTGGTCAGACGATTATTAACTCTATTGTAAATCACTAGAGAGATTACGCCAGACAATTGAATGAAAACGGCCAGAATTGAAGATATTAAGATTTCATCATGACGATGCCCGACCATACACTGTATACTCCATGCATAGCACCTGTTCTCCGACAAACACTTGTTCCGATTTCTGCAGAACAATCTCAATGGAATTAAACTGAAAGAGCTTGTAATAACCACAGAAGTTTTTCACTGATGGCATCATGGCTCTATCGGAAAAATAGCGAAACATTGTCGATAATATGGATTCTCATTCTCATTTTGAATAAATTCATTTTCATCCAATAAAAAACTGGACGGGGTTGACTAAATTAACGAAACGAAATTTGAACTTGATCCAATATTACAACATTATTTGCATTGGTGGTAGCAATTGATGCTACATTATTTGTAAGCTGTTGCTTTTACGTTACTTTTTGCAAATTTTATTATTGTAACAAATCGATATTATTATTTGATATGTAAAAAGTTAGTTTTTAACGAAGCGTTTGATTAATTACATTATAACTTTACAACTATATTATTACCTTCGATTTTCCCGCCACATCTTTCATTGAATTTGCAACCGGCCTTGGTCAAAGTCGGCTTTCCATTACAATCGGTGTAGACGCCCAAAACGACTCCCTTCCTCCCTTGGTCGCACTTGTCCGAATAATTCCGTTTCAATTTAAAAACAGCGATCGAATTTTTGTGCTGTCCCACGAGACGCCTTCCGCCTCGAACCCACATTTTTTTCTTTTGAATTTATAGCCTGGTTCCTGATACCTGATTATAACAACAATTCGCTCGTCCTCGGAGATAAAATACGGCCGGATGGAAAATTTTGTGAGGTCAAACTTTGGATTTTGCGTCCTGGAAATTATTTTTCAAAGTTTAGGTTGTTTAGATTTTGTTTTTCGGTTTTATTAAAAAAGTAAACTGTCAATTTTACAAAACTGAACATCGACTGGGCAGGCATTGAGCGTCATCGTTTGGAAATTTATTTTAGATTGAAATTTTGACGCGGAATTGGAGTTGGACAAGCTGTGTTAATACTTCATAAAGTAATGTTAAGTAGATTATTAATTAAACATGGAAAAATATGGTGAAGTTTCATGTTTTTAGATTATTTCTAAACATTTAGCAATGACGATCGAATTTAAAAAAATACGGTAAGGTTAAATGATATCATCACTTAATTATGTACCAATGTACCATAGTTACTGAATTGTAATTTTGATAGTAATTTGCTACTAAAAGTGAGCCTTAAGACTATTATAATACTTTATTTTGACGCTGAATTCGAGGAAATTGTAGATAAATGTTTTGCGATATTTCAAAAGATGATTGTGCAAAGACAATTCAAAAGTTGATTGAACAGATACAGAGCAAAGTGTGCAGAAAATAGAAATCGAGATTTTGAGAGAACGCAGTATCCGATTTGAATGATCTAAAAAATATTCAATTCGTATTGATGGGGAGAAGTGGTGATTAGTTTTTGGCAAAGGCAGGTCTAGCCGTTTCGGAGATACCAAGTTAAATATGCAAAAAATTGCAGTTTTTGAGAGAACTAAGCTTCCGATTTGAATGATTCAAAAAACTTTCTGCTTGTGTTGACGAAACAATTGCTTTCGGAACAAAATATTTTGGGTGCGTTCAGTGCCTGCCGTATGATCTTGTTCCGCACGCGCTGAATGATCTGTATATTGATATTTTTGACGGTGTCCCATAGTTGAATCCCATAGGACCACATTGGTTTGAAAATACATTTGTAAATAATCAGTTTGTTTTTTGTCGACAGTGCGGATCGTTTGTTCAGCAACCAGTAATGTTTTTTAAATAGTTCATCAATCTGCTGTTTTTTCTTGTTAATTTGGAGTCTAGGGCAATTCTATGAAAATGTTATAGTTGTCATATTTTGAAAATTTATTTTATTTCGAAACCGTTTCTGAACCAGAAAGTACTAGATTTTATGAGGATAATGTTTGATATAGAGTAGACAATTAAATATAAAAAATCATCATCCAGATCCATGGATCAAACTCATGCATGTGTTTTTCATCATGAAAGGGTCTGATCGTGTTTCCATACAGAGTTGGCCACACCCTGGTATTTAAATGATTTTGATACCATTTTATAGCTTTTTTTTCGAAAAAATCCGATATACCAATTTTCAACTCCCTAGCTCATCAATTTTCATATCATTATGTTGCAATAAATAAATATTAAATATTACGACTTGTTTAAGCTCTTTCAGAATGTGAGCATTCTTATAATATAAGTATAGTGAAGAAATATTTACATTTGCTTGAAATAATTATAAAGTATCTTTTAATTCGATTTGTATATAAAAAATACATTTTGCGTTCCTGAACTCCTTCTGCATCTTATTTTAAAATCGCTTGAAAATCGAAATCTGATTTATAAAAGTAAAACGTAATATTTTTTTGTATAAATGTTGCTTTTATTTATTTTAGTCATTTAATTGTTTTACTTAAAATTTAGTTTTAAGTAACTTTACTTGATATTTTCGAAGTAAACTCTGCACATCTTTTATATAATTACTCCATGTTTTCATTCCGTATATTATATCGAAATATTTAATATTACTTAAATTTTGATAAATGTTAATTTTTATTAATTGTGTTATTTAATTAATTAATAATAATTCAATTTTCTTTTTAGGAAAGTTATGATGAATTTGCCTTATTTTTCCACGACACTTATGGAGGCGATTTTATAGCTGTTTTATGGAAACCACAAGCTTTTGAGAAAAAAGAATTTAAGGTAAGTTTTATTATAATCAGACATATAATACATACTTATTGGAAAATTATTTATATATATTTAGACTAAGCTGTCGTACTATTTTCTACCACAATGTTTATATTGTGTAATTGCGATTTACAAAATCTCATCTCAAAAGTGTACCAATAAGGTATAACAATATTTTATACCATCTTGAAATTTTGGAACACATTTTTTTTCCAAAACTACTTGTCACTTCGATTATCTTCTTGGCAAAACAGTCTTTCAGCTATTCAATAGAAAAACATTCATCAAACATTAGTTTATTAACGTCTTGTAATTGTTTTCGTCCAAAATCGAAAATGAACATTTCGATTAACAACTTTACGTTTCGAAGATTTCTAAACATTTTGGCATACTTTAGAAAAAATTAATCTGTGTATGTGTGTGTGTATGGTATGTATGGACACGGATCAATCGATTTGAATAATTCAAAGAACATTCGATTCCGACTGATGAGGAGACGTGCTGATTAGTTTTTGGCGAGGTCGTGGTCCAGTCATTTCGGAGATGCGGAGCGAAATGTGCAAAAATGGTAGTTTTTGAGACAATGAATCTTTCGATTTGAATGGTTAAGAAAACATTTTGCTTGTGAAATATGATTAGTTTTTGGGAAAGACATGATTTTTTAACTTCCCGTAGGGTAAGTTATAGTAATCGCAAAAAAATCGAAAATGAAAATTTTTGCATTTCTCGACGTTTCAAAACCTTCTGAACATTTTGGCATACCTTAGAAAAAATGGATGTATGTGTGTGTGTGTGTGTGTGTGTGTGTGTATGTATGTATGTATGTATGTAGTGTGTGTATGTATGTGCGGATACAAATTTTCGTCGACGATTTCGGGAACACGGATCAACCGATTTGAATAATTCAAAAAACATTCGATTCGTATTGATAAGGAGACGTGCTGATTAGTTTTTGGCAAAGGCAGGTCTAGCCGTTCCGAAGATACGGGGCAAAAAGTGACAAGAACGGTACCTCCGTTTTTAAGAGAACGGAGCGTCCGATTTGAATAATTCAAAAAACATTTTACTTGTATTGACAAGATGTAGAATTGATCAAATTTTCATGGAGGTAGGTCTAGCGGTTTCGGAGATCTAATGAAAAAAGTAAAAATAATGCCGTTCGGCGGTTAAAATTATCATTAGACATATGCACATCAAATTATCAGATATTTTATAGAGATTTTAACAATAAGTATATTTTTTTTACATTTTTATGGGTTCCGTACCAATGCTTATGCGTTAGACGGCGGCGCGGCACATGCGCGCTTTGACATTTCGTCTCTAAGCAGTTCAAGCAGTGCGATTGCTTTGAAAAAAAGTTCAGAATTTCCAAAATATGTCAAAATGAAGAAAACATTTTTTTCAAAAAAATTTTTTGTATCCAAAAAAAAAATTTTTTTTCAAAAAAAAATATTTTTTTTTCATATAAATTTTTTTTTTCAAAAAAAAAGTAATTTTTTGTCAAATTTGTAGTTTCTCAAATCTATTTTTTTTTAATTAAATTTTTTTTCAAAAATGTTAATCGTTTTTAAAAAAATAATTTTTGGTACGGGAAGTTCCAGCAATTTGCCTTAAGGCACGATGCCCTAATTGCCTTAAGACAGAATTCCACTTACAGCTAGTTTTTATTTCAAATTACTCAAGCAGTATTGATATCCATTTTGCTTGAAAATTTAGATTAAAAAAGTTTGTAATAGTGAAAACTCTCCAACAATGCTGCGCTTAAATATTGAATGGACTGGGAAAAGTATGTAAAAATTTATATGGGAAAAATTATTATGATAAAATTTCAATATTCCAAGCATCGTATAATAGTGTAGTGTAGATGGATAAATGCTCTAACCTGGCCAGACAAATTTGAAGTTTTCACTGTTTTTTTTTTCAGGTATCCCATCTTAATGGCAGAAAAGTCGTAACAGTTGACGGAAAACCAATGCTAGTGTCTAATCTAGGCGCAATTATCGAAGATTTCTACATATTGGGCCAGGGATTAGTGAAGAGTATCGAGAACCTAACAAATAAAGAATCAGAATAAATAGTTGTATTAGAGTATATTTATTTTTTATTAAATTTAGCGACCAGATGACATTTTGTTAATTGTTGAATCGAAAGTAGACGATCATCTTTACTGATAGATTTAAGAGAATACTTTTGTATATAAATTGTTTAATATGAAAGATATATTTTAAAAACTATGATTTACTCTGTACAATATATTTTTGCAGCTTATTTTATGTCCTTAACTTTATATTCTTACTTTACGTAGGGTAAGTTATAGTTGTAATCGCAAAAAAATCGAAAATGTTAATTTTTGCATATCTTTACGTTTCAAGACCTAATGAGCATTTTGGCATACCTTGGAAAAAGTGGATGTATGTATTATGTGTGTGCATGGATGTATGTATGTATGTATGTTCGGATACACATTTTCGTCCACCATTTCGAGAGCACATATCAACCCATTTTGATGATACAAAATGCATTAGATTCCTATTGATTTGTATATGTGCTGATTAGTTTTTGGCAAAGATAGGGTCGTTTTGAAGATGCAAGGCAAAAAGTGAGAAAACAAAATGGAAATTTAGATTTTGAAAGAACTGAGCGTCCGATTTGCTGATTCAAAAAACAATTCACTTTAGTGAAAAGTTGATTAAAGTTCTGGGAAGCGGCTATGAAGGTAAAAAAAAATGAAGATGAAAAAATGCCATTCGGCGGTCAAAAATTTTCATTAGGCATGCACCTCAAATAATCAGATATTTTATAGCGGTTTTAATATGTAACAATTTTGTTTACATTTCTATGATTTCCTTACCCAGATTTAATGTTTACATGTCAGAGACTGCGACGCGGCTCATACGCGCTTCGATAAATTGTCTCTAAAACAGCTACGCAGAGCTATTTGACATCGCTTTGAAAATATTCAAAATTTTTGAAAAATGTTAAAAAATATACGGTGCGGGAAGTTGCAAAAGCGCAATACCATTCATTTCTAGATCAAATATTTAAGGTTGGCCCATTTAAAAATTGGAATATAATTTTGCTATAAAATGAAAACAGCTCAATATTTTTCAATGGTTGAACATTTATTTATTAGGTTGATTCATGACATTTATTTATGAAAAGCACATTTTCGATTGTTTCGGGCATTATCTCAGCAATAGCAGTTTGAATTTCGGTCTTGAGATCTTGAATTATTTCTGGATTGTTGGCATAAAATTTATCTTTCACGGCTCCCCAAAGATAATAATCCAATGGCGTCAAATCGCAGCTTCTTGGTGGCCAATTCACATCAGCATTTTTGCTAATTATTAGATTTTCGAAAATGCGGCGTAAAACATCGATTGTGTATTTACAATAAGTATGTTAAAATGAGGTAAAATGGAGGCAAATATGGTGTAAAGGATGCTAGAATATAAATTTAAGTATCAAACCAATGAGTTGTGGTAGATAGCCTATGATTTAAGATAGCCGTTAAATTGAAGTAGTTTTAGCAAGTGAATTAATGTAGTTAACAGTGGATGTTACAGCCGAAGTTTATTTTAAGTTTCTGCCGTATATTGTGGTTAGAGATATGAGATTTAAATCTGAAGTTTTAGGTTCGATACTCGTCTCCGACAGCCGGAGGTCAAGCAGTAGTAAATATGACTTTGCCAAGCGTTACTGCATCAATAATAAATTCATATATATTATAGAAATTTTATTAATCAAAATTAATAATTAATTCATGCACGAATTCAAACAGATGTTTAATCAATTAATTCATCAAAATGGTGTGGTTTTAAACCTGCTAACAACTGTATTAAATAAAATTAATCCGTAATGGCTAAATTTATAAGAATTGCACTTTGGAATGTCAATGGGCTCCTACAGCACAAGCTAGAATTAACTACTTTCCTCACTTTGAATCACATTGACATAATGCTAATAAGCGAAACCCACTTTACTAGTTTCTCTTTCTGCAAGATTCCGAATTACACACTACACTATTGCAATCACCCGGATGATACGGCTCATGGAGGATCAGCCATACTTATTCGAAATACAATAGTTCACACCGAACTTCCTCCGTACCAAAAAGAACACCTACAAGCAACAACAATACTTGTCAGTATGCATCTTTACAAATTATCAATCTCAGCAGTGTACTGCCCTCCACGACATAATATCAAGCAAACAGATTTTGAACAGTTTTTCCATCAATTGGGTGCGAAATTTCTTGTAGGTGGTGATTTTAACTGCAAGCACACTTCTTGGGGATCACGTCTGATCACAAGCAAGGGTAATGAGCTCCTGAGAACCTTAAATAATAATAATTATTCATTTCTGTCCACTGGAACCCCGACATATTGGCCTAGTGATCCTCAAAAAATACCAGACCTGCTCGACTTCTTTATTTTGAATAACATAAATGAGAACGTGATGAATATTAAGCCATCATACGATTTATCCTCAGATCACTCTCCAATTGTTTTAACTATAGGAATAACAGTTATACAAAAATAAATTCAAATATATTACATAGCAAATATACAAATTGGGAAACATTTCGAGAAGTTTTGAAAGAGCGAACAAATTTACATATCAGTCTCAAAAGCGACGCTGAAATTGACAAGGCTACTGAAGATTTGCTTCAACACATTAAGACTTCAATTCAAGAAGCAACTCCTAAAACTCAAGCATCACCTGCATTCCAAGATATTCCGTTGGAAATCAAAGAACTTATTCGGAAAAAAAGACGTGCTAGAGCTAAATGGCAACAAAATCATAGACCTGACGATAAAAGTACATACAATAAACTTTGCAGAGAACTTAAAAGCAAACTTAGGCAAGTCAGAAATGAAAATTTTGAAAAGTACATTAATAATCTATCCAGATCAGATAACTCGATATGGAAAGCAGCTAGTAATGTGAAGAAGCCTAAATTCTTTTCTTCACCTATTAGAAACAGTGCTAATGATCCTTGGGCAAGAAGTGAAGAAGACAAAGCGCACCTATTTGCTAAATACTTGTCTAATGTTTTTAAACCATTTGATTCCACCATTGATAAAGAGATTGAAGAAGAATTGCTTAAACCTCTACAGTCTTCACAATCTTTCAAACCTATCAAACCCAAAGAAGTCAACTCTCAAATTCAGATGTTAAATACAAGAAAATCGCCTGGTTTTGACAAAATAACAGCAAGGGCGTTGAAAGAACTTCCTAAGAAAACGATTGTTTTAATAACTTATATATTTAATGCCATACTAAGAGTAGAGTATTGGCCAAAATCATTTAAGACTGCCCAAATATTAATGATTCCTAAAAAAGGGAAAAACTTGACTGAGGTATCTTCATATAGACCAATATCCTTGCTTCCCGTAATATCTAAACTGCTTGAAAGGATCTTTTTGGACCAAATCAACAACGAGCTTCCTTCAGATTGGATCCCCTATCATCAATTTGGCTTTAGACGTGAACATTCGACCACACAGCAAGTTCACAGGGTTATTGACACTGTACTCAAGTCATTTGAAAATAAGCAATTTTGTAGTGGTGTTTTCCTGGATGTTCGACAAGCATTCGATAAAGTTTGGCACCCAGGACTTTTATAAAATTAAAACATACCTTCCATCCAGGTATTATGGGATTTTAAAATCCTATCTACAAGATAGGATTTTTCAAGTGAAAGTAAATCAAGTAACATCTGATTTTCACAAAATAATGTCAGGTGTTCCACAAGGTAGTATTTTTGGACCCTTCTTATATGTATTATACACAAAGGACCTCCCATTACTTGAAAATCTGACAATTGCTACATTCGCTGACGATATTGCCATACTAAGCAGTAATCACAGTGCTGATCAAGCTTCCCGACAAACGCAAGAACTTATCAATGAACTAGAAATGTGGCTTGCTAAATGGAAGATTTGCATAAATGAAACCAAATCAGTTCATATCACATTTACCCTGAGAGAGGGTACGTGTCCTCCAATTTATTTAAATAACGTCCAAATTCCGAAACAGAACATAGTGAAATATCTTGGTCTCCATTTAGATAGCAGACTTACTTGGAAAAGCCATATAAAAACAAAAAAGCAGCAAATAATGATCAAAATAAAAGAATTTGATTGGCTACTGCGTAAAAAGTCGAAGCTCTCTGTCGAAAATAAGTTGCTGCTATATAAATCGATTATTAAACCAATCTGGACCTACGGAATTGAGCTCTGGGGATGTGCTTACAAATCCAATATAGCTATAATGCAGAGAACTCAGTCAAAAATTTTACGTTCAATTCTTAATTCTCCGTGGTACGTGACAAATGAGACCATTCACAGCGACCTCAATATGAAAACGGTGCAATTAACGTTTAAAGAAGTTAAGGAAAAATATAAGCGCAAACTGGACTCACATTTGAATCCTTCTATAGCTGACGTTACTCAACCTTTTGGCATTAGGAGGTTGAAACGACAATGGCCCTTAGACTTAGTCTTATATTAGGTCTAATATATCATACTAATTGTAAAACTGAGAAGTTCTCATTGGAGTTCTTCTTAGGCATCACTCATAAATATTGTCATTTTAGCTCATAGGAATCTTTATGTATTTCTGATTGCTAAATAAAACTGAGTTCAAAAAAAAAAAAAAAAAAAAAAAAAATCAAAATTTATCACATGGAGAGAGTGGCAAACGTTTGGGTTGCTACCCATAAAGGAGCACGTCGTTTAAGAATCCAACACTTAAAGCTCATAGTCCATGTTAAGTGCTTATTGCTGTTAAATATATGTGTAATAAAAAAAACTATTTCCTTTCTCCTTAATCGCCTGTTGCAACCGTGAACAATGTCCGTTTACACGATTATTTCATACCATTATCGCCGAACAATTTTGTAAATAAAACAACACTTATCGATCAATCTTAAAATAAAATCTAAACAATTAATCTCAATTATGTTTAATTTATCAAATATTAACTATCAGAAAAATGCAATCTCAAAGCAAAAGGTAATATTTTTCCGCTCTTTCTATCCTGGATTTCACGAAGTGTGAGCGGGTTTAAGCACTTGCTATGCATAGAAGTGCATTGATTCTTAAACTT